ACAAAAAAAAAAAAAAAAAAAAAAAATCAACTTTCCAGTTTCTATTGATCCAAGGAGTACTTATTGACACCATCTAATTAGCAAAGTTTGATAACTATCACATTCATTTAGACTGTCATTTCTAAGAGGATCTCCTTTTTTTTTTTTTTTTGTCTTTTTGTCTTTTTCCGTGTCCGGCAACGGATCACAACCCTCAGTGTTGCCCCCGTACCGGACCGGGGACCGGCAACGGGATCGCAACCCTCGGCGTTGCCCCCCGCGCCTCGCTCAGCCAGTGAGCGGGAACCGGTCTGTATGTGGGATCTGAACCCTCGAGCGGGAGCGCCGCCGCGCTTCCCAAGCGGCCCACTTATCCAGTGCGCCACCGGGCCGGCCCCTTTTTTTTTTTTTTTTTTTGTAGCATTAGTTCACTTGGCCTTCTGTTTACTCCTGTCCAGCAAGCCCTTTCTGTCCTGTCCTGTTCTTCTCCTCTCCAGGCTCAGAGCCAGGGGTAGCACTGTGTGATCCTTGAGGGATTTGCTTAGTAAGTGCTTTTCAACAGTCAGTCTTCCTTATTTTGTAGTGCTTTATGTCCTAACAAGGGGCTGTACACACAGCCTTTAGTTTGCAGTAAACTGGGTTCCTGTACCAGGATCCTACTTCTCCCTCCACCAGTCTTAGGGTCACCTCTCTTGCTTCTGTCTGGTCCACACTGGAATATATGTTCTTGGTTCTTCTGCAGTGGCCTTTCCAAGGTCAGAGATCAGAATCCTTCATAGGGCTAGGGACCTATTCTAAGCCAAAAATACTAAAGAACTGATTTCTTCTCTCCTCTCTCATTCTTCACCCAATCGCCCACTCAGGGCTGCACCATTATCTTAATGAGCTTTGCCTTAGCTACCTGCCAAACAACTCAATCAATCCAGTTGGTTGCATTTCAAAAGGTTTAGAGTCTAACTCAGGGCTCCTAGAAATGCTCTTAGATTAAGAGCCCAACTAGTTAATTAGTTTCACCTGGCCAATAATAGATCTAGTCAGAAGAAAACTATTAAGGTGCTATGTCTGGAGAAGTTTAGTAGTGGTTTAAGAGTGCGGGCTCTGGAACAGTAACGCTAATTTTAATCCTCTAGCCGCTGCTTCATAGAAGTTACTATTGTGCAAGCTATCCAATTTGCCTACCTCTTTATTGCCTACCATTCCTTACCCGTAAAATAGGGGTAGGAATGGTACCTATCTCATATGTGTAAAGCATTAGGCCCATAACAAGCCCTCAGTAACCTGGAGCAAATCCAAGCAAAATTTAAAACCTAGACTTTCTGGTAGCTTTATTGAAAGCCATAGAAGGACCTTACCGTGAACTGAGTTGAGAGGAACGAAAGGAATTTCCTAAAGCCACTTACAAATGTTGAATGGGATCCTCAGAGGGCTTCACTTTTTCTATTTCAATCCTAAAATACAGTTGAAACGGTCTTTGCCAAGGAGACTTTACCAAACATCTTACATGTTTGATTAATAGAAACTTCTCCCTAGGAAAACAAACTTCTTTCCTTATTCTTTTCTTTCAAGTATTGCCCTCTCCGTACCCTCAACCGAACCAATCAGAAAGACTGAAGCGTTGGTTGCCCTTCAGAAAAGCAGAAACTCTAACCCTTCAGGGTGATTAAATTTTACTTTTGGCCTCTGAGGACTGGTAGAGAGATTCATTTCTACTTAACCACTAAGCCAGGGCTGCAAAGGACCCAGCCTTACTCAACCCCTCTCAAGCACATCTGGGAAGTAGCGGCCTTCCATTTACATCCACACGCTCAGAATGAAGGGTAAGAGAAAGCACAGCTTTTAGGCGCTGAAAAAGTGGCAGCCGTGTGTTTAATTTGTGAATCCTGATGGTGGATTTGAATAAACTCTCAGTCGGGGAGGTTAAACTGGTTTGGAAGAGGGGACAGCAGAAATTGAATAGTTGCAGCTGCCAACCCCAGGACGCTATTTTACATTAGTAAAAATGCGTTTTGGAAGGTGCCTGGTTCGGAGAGCTGACTTCGGGAATTGTGCTCTTCACCATCACCCTTTCTTCTGAAACCCGATGTAGTTCTCTGCCCGGAGCCGTTCCGCTAGTCCAGCCAGTCGGTTCCTTAAGGGACTGGCGGGCCACGCCTGAGTTCGTCGGGCCGCGGGGGTCTCCGCGCACCTCCGCTCCGGGGTCGGCGACAGCTCCAGAGAGGGGGGCATTCTCCCGAGGCCGGGGTGAGAGGAGTGTTGGTTTAAAAGCGGAAGGGTTTGCGGGCGAGGAGAGGACAGAAGACCTCGTAGCCGCGCGGTGGCCCCCTTCGCCGGCGCCCGATCGTCTGTCGTCTGCGGCCAGCGACCAGCTGCAGTAGGATCCACCTTTCTCCTGCGTGCGGCCGCCGAGGCCAAAGCGCGCAGCGCCAACCGGCGAGGGATAAGGGGGCGGCTGGAGGGTGGGCGCCGACGGCGCTGTGCGGCCCGGGCTCCCCAGAGCCAGATCCCCTCTTCTGTGCCTCCCCCTCCCCCACGCCCGCTCCTCCTCCACTGGGAGCGTCGGCGCCGCTAGGCTTTGAGGCTAGAGCGCGCTCACCTGTACTGATCGAAATTGGCGTACACGGCCCACTCGGAGGGGTCGCTCTCGTAGGCTTCCATGACGGCCTGCACTTCCTCTACATTGACTTCGTCACCGGCGAAGAGCTGGTGCAGGATGCGGATCAGATCGGCCAGGGTCCGTGGCTTTAGCAGCTCGGTCTGCTCCATCCCGCGCGGAGTTGGCAGAGCGCGCCTCTCACTGCTGGGCTGCGGTGGAGAAGCTCAGCGAGCCCGGGACGAGGGACCCTAAGCTGTGAGCTAAACAGCTACACACACACAATCCCCCAGGCGCTCGAGAGCCAAAACGTAAAGAAACCCTCACAAAGAGACCAAGAGACCCACCCCCTGGCAGCGTGGCAGTCGGGCTCGTTAGGGACGCGCGGCGCGCACAAATCCGGACCAAATCTGCGGGTTCTCCCCCGGGGCCCTTTTAAAGCTTTTGGAGTTAGTGGGAATGTACCAACGGCCCTCCGGGGGTGGAGCGAGGCGGACAGCGACCGGAGAAAGGTGGGCGGAAGCAGGGAGAGAGTGCGGGCAGGGCCCACGCACACAGCCCTGGCTCCTTGTGCGCTCCACGCCTTCTCGAGGCCCCCATTCTCTACCGGGCCCCAGCGGTCGGCTTCGTGCAGTATCCCCCCCCCCCCTTAACGGCGCGTTTTGGTCGCCCATCCCAACCTTTCCCGGCGCCACCTCTGCCGCTGTGGTTCGCGAAGCTGGGACGCAGACAGAAACGGTCGGGAGGAGAGGACCCTTATAAAGAAAGGGGGAAGAAAGGGACACTTCCAAATAGAGCTGATGAATCGTGAGGAGCCTGCGCAGATTGAGAGTGGATTACACTCCCAGGATAGAGTGAGACTGTTTTATCGATTGAAAATATCCGTAATATGCCCCAGGCTAGGTGAAAATAAGTAGAAGCTCTTTTAAAAAAAAAATTAAATGTAGTGTACTGTAAATACATTTTGACAAAGGAGACGGCTCTTGAGTAAGACTAGTGAAATGATGGAAGGCCAGGTATTCTAGACGCTGGTATTAAAATCAAACATTTCCTAAAAAATAATATATCCAGTGCAAAGAATGTTTTAATTGAAGGTGAAAATAAGGCAGCGGGGGTGGGGGGTGGGGCGGTGTGCTCCTAACGCACTAATTCAAAAGGTTCTAATTAGATTTGAATCCTTAAATTCTAGGCATGTGCTTGAAGGAGCCTCTTGGCACGTACATACATACTCGTACATACAAGAAAGCGCATTTCTGTGTTGTACCTAGAACCTAGCACGCTTTGCGAACAGAAATTAAGTATAAATAAAAATGAGAAAAAGTGAAAGACAGTAGTGCAAATATAGATTCCTTTACCCCCCCCCCCATGAAATTTACTTGTGCCACGGGCAGTTTTATTTTAAACATCCCTTTTTAAACTTATTACACTATAGATATTCTAACAATACAGTTAAGGAAAAACAACAGCTCAATCAACCATTGTTCAAAAAGGGCTACAGGTAGAAAGCACTCTAGAAGCCAACCTTTTGTGGTGTGTGTGTTGCTGGGAGGTGGTTAATTAAAGTACTTAGGGACAGAGTAATTTGTACACTTTTCATTGTTTACTCAAAATTATTTTTTATTCTTGTCAGTGTTTTCTGAGTCTCTTAGTTACTTTCAGCTATTCTAATCCATGGATATTTGGAATGAACAAAAAAAATCAAATACAAGCTTAATTTATCTTCTCTGCATTTGGCAATTGACTACTTCTCTTTAAATTTTTCTGACAATTCATTTCCTACTTTCTCTGACTCCTCTTGACCTTCAAAGACCTCAAGGATCTTTCCTAATATTCACACATTTTTATTCATTGTCTCTTCTCTAAACCTCCTCCTGTCCCCCATACTCACTTCATCGATCACCCTCTACGTGGTTGCCTCCTACATCTCCTTAATTTTTATATGCTGAGTACAATCTCTAACACTTTTTGGCCCCTCAATTACACTGTCTGAAACTCCTTTCAGTCATGCTCTACAACTCCTAGAGGTTATATGTCTGCAGTGAGGCACCCAGGCTCACAAACCTCAACCACTGCCCACTCTTTCCTTGTGTTACTCTCCAGAGCCCTTTCAAGCAATCGCCAACTTTAGTATCTCCGTATCTTTTATATTTTCCCTTCTTTCTACTCTTATTACTACTCCACTTATTCAAGATTTTATTGTTTTGGCTGGATTACTGCACTGGCCTCCTAAACTGGATTCCTTGGTTACAGCTTTTCACCATGCAAATCCTTGATTCACAACCACTAGATTAATTACCCTAAAGCACAGAACTGATGTCGTTTCTTGGTCACAAACTTTCAGTAACTCTGACTTTCCTACACAATAGATTTTGTTAGCCTGGCATTTAAAGTTCTCCATGTTTTGGCTCTAAACTTCCTTTTTCCATTTTTCAGTATTTACTATTCTTCTTTACAAATTGAATTAGTCCCTGTTTCTTACGCTTGCCAAATCCATTCTTTTGCTTAAGCTTTTCCTTCTGCCTAGATTCTAGGAGGCCATTTCAACATGTCCAAATCTTATTTTAAGGTCTACTCCTGCTTTCTTCTCAAATGAGCAATCTCTCCTCCTCCTGAGTAACGGGAGCAATGATCACTATCTTCCATAGGGCACTTAAAATTTCTTAGCATGTACTGCAGTTACTAATGTGGATCATTTTTACATTGAGAACCTTTAGGACAGGCTCCACTTATATTTTATTTTTATATTTCCATTAGTGCCTAGCACACAGTGCTTTGTGCAGATTAGGCACTCAAGAAACATTTGAGTGTATGTATGAATAGCAAAGTTGGGAAAAGCATGTTGGAAATTAGCTAGAGTAATTCAATTGCTAGCTTTTCTTTAGGGATCCTGGGGGATGTGAGTTCAAATCCAACAGACTTGTTTTTTTCATTTTTTCTGCAAAGGACACCAGAATTCTTCCCAAGACACACACACTGAAACCTAACTACAGTCATTTTTAAAAAGTTACTAACATTACAGGCTTTACTAACACAAGTAGAATATGTAGATCCAGAGAGGTAGTTCTACCGTACTCTGAACTTCCCAAGGTAATGATTGTCACATTTTCAGACAGACATTGACATGGAGGTAGATATCCAGAGAAGGAAACTAAAATTGTTAGAAGTCTGGAAGTACTCATCTATTCGTCCATTCATCCAACACATTTTTAAAAGCATGTATTATATGCCAGGCACTGCTCACAGAACTAAGTTATCACTCTCATAGGGCTTGCATTCTAATGTGAGTGGGATGGGAAAGGACACACCAACAAATATTGTGTGCAGTATACATGGAGAAATGAACACATACTGTATACAATATACAACGGAGAAAAATAAAGCAGGGGAAGTTGGGTAGGAAGTGGTGAGAAGCTGCCATTTTAAAGGAAGTTCAGGGGAACATTTCCTTGAGTTAGTGAGACATTTATGTGTATGGGGGAAGTTTCCAGGTGGAGGAAGCAATAAGTGCAGTAGCCCTGGAATGGGAGCAAGCTGTGTCTAAATAACAGCAGAGATGAACATGGATGTGGGTGGCAGACTGTGGGAAAGTGGGGACTGCAGATGACACAGGCCCTTGTCATGCAGTTTAAGGACTTCAGCTTTTACTCTGATACAGAAAGCCACTGGGAATTTTGGGCAGAGAGAGAGCATAGTGGAACCAATTGGTTGGATATTATAATCTGAATGAAAAAAATATGTATAATGGTGGCTTTGGCCAAGGTGGTAGCAAAAGACATGAGAAATGGTTGAATTCTGAACATTTCTTGAAAGTAAAGCTGTCAGGATTTGCTGATAGATGGAAACTGGGTTGGAAGTGGAGTCAAGAGTCTAAGCAACTGGAAGGATAGATTTGCCATTTACTAAGAGAAAACTTGAGAAAATGGGCAGAGAAAGATTGCTTTGTAGATCTAGATACAAGAACTGCGAACAAATAGTTGCAAGAAGCAGGGAGGCAGATTTTGGCACGTAAGGAAGACAGTTCTGTAACAAATAGCCATCTCAAATGGATAAGGTTTCCTTTGTAACTAGAAGCAATCAGATTAAGATCTGTATACTGTATATCTGTAACGATGACATAGAAGGGACTATGGGAGCTGATTTACAAGGATTCTTCTAAAGAAATTCTATTCAGCCTTATACATACATGATTTATCTCTCATTCATTAATACTCAGTAAGAAAACATAGTTAAAGCTAATATCTCATATCAAATCTCTTTACTTTTCAGTATTTCTAAAAATTCAATTTAAAAAATTTTTGATTTAAATTCAAATCTGAAAATTTCCCTCCCCCAATTAGAATAAAACTGTCACAAGAACAGAGATTTTATTAGTCTTATTTCAAGGCTGAGGACATAATAGACAATATGTGAATGAACAAATGTAAAGTTATATGAACAAATAAGTTTATACTTAGTTTCAAGTTTTTGATATTGTCAGATTGCCCCCTAAAAATGAAGTACCAATTCACAGTCCACTCACCAAGAATATTACAGGACTTACTTCCCACAACTTTGCCAATACTGAGATTTACATTGTTTTTAATTACAGTTAATACGATAGGTGATAATCAGCATCTGTTTTTTATTTGCATTTTTTATAACTAATGGGGTTGAAGGCTTTCGTGCTTCATTGGTCACCTGTATTTTTCTTTTCTGAATTGCATTTCTATTTTTTTGTCCATTTATCAGTTGGTTTTTTCCTTATCAATTGGCATGAGTTCATATATTAGATATTAAAACCCTGTCACGTTGCAAATATTTTCCATTACCTTCTGCCATATGAAAATTTAAGTTATACAAATTTCTTTTCTTGTTGCTTTTCTAAGCTAAGTCATACTTTGCTAATCACAATTTCATTCACTCAACATTTAATGTTACGTTACTGATTATACATGTATAAAGAAATGTACTAAGTTCTATGTATGTATGGGTGCCAAATAAAAAACCAAAAAGGACCCTATTTTCAGGGACCTTACAATCATGAAGGTGTGTTGGATACATGCCTATGAAGCAGTATGTAGTAAATGCTATAATAGTGGCAGTTTGCTCTAAGTGTTTTTATCAGGGAGTGGGTATCTCCTCCTTGAGTGATTCAGATAAACTTTAAGGAAAAGTTAAAATCTGAATTACGCTTTGAAGGAGTTAGGATTTGAAAGGGTGAAGGTATAAGTGAACTGCATGAGCAGATGTAGAAAATAAAAAACACAAGGCAAGTTCAGGGAATAGGTGAATAATTCAGTGTGGACTGAATAATATAGGGAAATAGTATCTGTAAAACTAAACTTCTTAAATTGTTTTCTATTATGTGGGCTGTAGCTGGCTTCCCTAATGCCAAAAGCTTATTCAGCCGATTATAATCCTCAGAAAATGAAGCAAAAGCATTATGAAAGGCAATTTTCCTTTTATACTACTTTAACCCATCTTGGGTTATACACAGTTAAGCTAATGTTATTTAATCTGAGGCATATCCTGCACTTCTTTTGGTTTTCTAATCTGATTAGATATTTTAGGTTCCTTTAGGGTTAAAACTTTTAGAAATCATAGATTCCAGGAAGTATCCAATCTTATTTTGATTACAGATAAAACATTCTTAACTTACCTAATGCCCTAAATATGGGGAACTCATTATGAAGTACTCAGCATAGATGCTATTAAAGAGAGAAGCACAATTTTCTTTCTTTTTTTTTTTTTTCTTTGTTTTTGTCTTTTCTACTGACCGGTAACGGGATCGCAACCCTCGGTGTTGTGCCCGCACCGCGCTCAGCCAGTGAGCGGGAACCGGTCTCCACATGGGATCCGAACCCTCGGCGGGAGCGCCACCATGCTCCCAAGCGGCGCACTCTCCAGTGTGCCACCGGGCTGGCCCAGAAGCACAATTTTCTAACATCACATATACTTTGTGGGCTGTGGGTCATCTTTGCATAGTAAGATAAAGCACAACATTACTGACATCAATTGTCTCATAAACATGGAAAACTTAAAATATAACCTCAAAGTTCAGGTTTTTCCCCCAGGTTCAATTATACTTTAAGACCGTTTAAACTAGAAGATTGCAAAATATTTGTGAATAAATTGTGTTTTAGGTTCTAATCACCCAATAACTTATGGGATCCAGGCTTACAAGTAAATGTTGCAAAGTTAGCGCAACATTACTTCTTTGCTAACTAAAGACAAAGAGATAATAATGTAAATAGAACAGTCTGAAAAAAGTGTTAAGCACTATCTATTCTTCAAGGTTATTAGGGAAGAATAAGTGAGGTATACATATTTAGCTAATCTTAGATTTAATAAACTAGTGAGTTATTTAGATAAAAAATGTTACAAATTCAAACTCAAGTATTTTTGACTGTTGAGGTAGTAAATATTCTATCATCTGAAACTTCAGTGGCAAATAATACGTAAATTCAAGGTATTTTCCCTATTTGTTAAACATATATGCGTATAAATATTCACTTCCTTCAGTAAACTGTAAGCGGACAAAATTAGAGAATAGATATTTTCCATATCCAACTTATCTGACTTGAAGATAATACAGGTTGAGCATCCCTAATCCCAAAACCCCAAATCTGAAATGCAGCAAAATCTTAAACTTTCCGAGTGCCATGAAGCCACAAGCGGAAAGTTCCATACCTGACATCACGGGATGGGATGCAGTCAAAATTCAGGTGCACAGAAGTTAATTCAGGTCCCCAGGAAAAAAAAGAGCCTCCCAGCCACCTTCAGCTGCAATATATCTTTTCTACCAAACAACCAGACTGTCCATATGGGTGAGTGAGATACTGACACCTTTGCTTTCTAATGGTTCTATGTATACAAACTTTGTTTCATGCACAAAATTATTATATGATATTGTGTAAAATTATCTTCAGGCTATGTGTATAAGGTGTATATGAAACATAAATGAATTTTGTGTTTAGACTTGGGTCCCATCCCAACACATCTCATTGTGATTATGCGAATATTCTAAAAAAAAAAAAAAAAATCTGAATCCAAAACACTTCTGGTTCCAAGCATTTCAGGTAAGGAATACTCAACCTGTACACACTTTCCAGCTTTCAACATATACACAAATTTCTTTCCTAATCTTATAATTGTGCACAACTCAACTTGTATTATTTGAGTGCTCTTAGCTATATTCATTTATTATACAGGGACATTGGTTTAAGGAGAATGAAGAAATTAGATTCTCGGGCAGAAAATGAGAACTGAACAGTGATTTCATCATTGTAAAGTTAACTGTTATTTAGCATCACCTAATGCTACGACATGGCAAATCACTAACCAAAGAGTGCATTCTGGGATTTAAGGGACATAAGTGTAGTTCTAGTCCTTCAATAAAATCATACCTTAGCTCCTGTTTGGACATTCCATTCAATTTATTGGAATGCTTTTTTAAAACTATGGCATTACAAATATAATACAGAATAAAGAAAGAGTTAAATCTCACTTCAAGCGATTACCAGTCTAATAATATCAGTAAAAATGGTACTCTTTTACTTATGGCATGAAATACATGTAAAACCTAAGGTTGTTTTTAAATTATTCTTTGAGTGCTTTTGAGATGGAAAATGCATTATGAACACTCAAAGATATTGCCAGGTTTACTCATCTGTGTGACAGAATAACACCAGTTATACCATTGGGATTTAAGAATCATTAAGTGATAGGACTGAAAAGAGCAGTATGACTCAGTTGTCCTGTATTTGTTAAATTCTTTCTGCTTGCTAATAAAATACTTAAACTATGCACATTCTCTCTAATAGTCTTCCAGTCTGTCAACATGCTTGCTCTCCTTGATGAATGCCAACTAGAAATTTGCAACAACAGTGTTTTCCCCTAAGGCAAAAGATAAAACCTGGCAAAGATGTAAAACCAAACAGCCAAACCCTTTCGGCAAGGTTGGCTGCCCTCTATTGGACTATATAAGGTATTCAGACGGTAGGTCAATGTGACTTTGTTTTACAAGAAGCTAACACAGTAGATATAAATGTAAATATCTCATTATCTGGAAGAAGCTGAAGTTTCCTGAATAAGTTTAAAAAAAAGAAAACAAAGAAGAAAACTTTAGTAAATTAACTTTTACTGTAAAAAAAAAAACAAAACAAAAAACAGAGTGCTAATTCTACAAGTAAACAACTTCAGTAATTTTGAGAACCAATAATGAAGTTGCAGTCTTAGTTGCCTTTTCAACCTTGGAGGCAGATCTGGAGCAATTATAGTAGTAACAAGTAGAAGCAATGGGTGCACTCTAACATCAATCTTTTATAATAATTTGTGTATTAATACAAATCGCATTTTTGTGAGTCCATTCACTCTATGGATGTTTGCTTACGCATAAACATGGGTCACAGTAGATACATGAAAAGATACATGAGTCATATCTGTTAAGTCTCTTGCCACAAGCATCAAAACTTTTCAGAGCTGGTTCCTCTGTGAAAATTCATTTAAAGTAGCAAGTTGTTTTTTTCTGTGGTTCATCCCCATGCCTGAGATTTGCAATAATGTAGGACCAGTTTACCATCACTGCCAAAACACTACAAAAAAAAAAAAAAAAAAAAAGGCAATAAATTAAATTCAATTTTTGTTATTCTTAGATGAAACAAATTAAAAAAAATCATACACATTATAAATATCCTCAACACACATATACACGTAAGTTACCTATGTTATAAGGCTATTTCTTTCAAAAGATGCCTGTTTCTATCAAACACATCAATGATCAAAAATATTTAATAAAACCTTAAGCATCTTAGACATCGATGGTTTTTTGCCCTTTCTCTGTATCTCTGACCATAATGTACAGATTTTCAGCTGTTTCCTAGTGGTAGTGCTAGTATGTATACTCTAAAATTGCCAAGAAACTGCAAGAATGTTCAAGTCACACTTATATAGTTTTTTCAATTTCTTGGTGGCAGATCTGGATTATGGATTATACAATGTAGAATAAACTAGATGTAGATAAAAAAGGGAATATTATTTTCTGAGAATACAAACAAAAGATGACTGAAACATAATTCATTGATTCTAAATTTTATAATTTAATAAGATCCTACTATATTCAAGGTGTTAGATATATAACAGAACAAGAAAGTCATGTCTTCTTTCCCTGATAATTTAAGAATGGCATGTCATTTCTTAAAATAAAGATGTGAATTAATGATCATACTATACACTCTAGTATGTGTACTATACACATGTGCATATTCCATTTAAAAAAAAGCAGTAACTTCTTACCTCATAGAGGGTTCCGACTTCCTGGTCTGGGGAAGGAGCAAAAGACTGATTCACGTAAATAAACTACGAGAAAGAAAAAAATAATGGAGATTCATTTTTAATAGTATCCTGATTAACCTGCATTTTTCTGAGTTCCAATCAACCAGCTATTTCAAGTTTTTTCTCTTCAGAATTGGGGAAAGCTTCCCTAACCTCCTTCCCATTCTTATAAAATAGTTAACTTAAAGAGATATTTATGAAGATCACATCTTTTCTCCAGAGGAATAAAAATAAAAGATTTTTTGTTCCTAGAACAGTGGTTTCCAATTTTTTATGAGAAACTTTTAAATATTTTTTACACGTAGCTTTTGAAGGCTTATTCAACAAGTTACATTAAAAAAAAATTTCCCACTTACCCATAATTAAAGACAGAATTTCTCTTAACAAAATTTCACATACACAGTCAAAAATCAGTAAATCTAATAATATTCAAGATAGTCAGTGCATTTTTCTTGGGTCAATCTATGACATATGTGGTTAGTTTTGTTTTGACCTTTACTAGCTTTGAAAACTGTAAATAGTACTGAATTTCGGGCTGGGTGCCACTACCACACAAAGTCACTTGCAGGCAAATGAAGTAAAAAAAACACAATTGTCATTACAATCTTGTTCTTTTTTTTTTTTTTCCTTTTTGTCTTTTTTCGTGTCCGGCAACGGATCGCAACCCTCAGTGTCGCGCCCGTACCGGACTGGGACCGGCAACGGGATCGCAACCCTCGGTGTTGCGCCCGCACCTCGCTCAGCCAGTGAGCGGGAACCGGTCTGTATGTGGGATCCGAACCCTCGGCGGGAGCGCCGCCACGCTCCCATTCGGCGCACTGTAGCAGTACGCCACCGGGCCGGCCCCACAATCTTGTTCTTTAAAGGACTCACTGTTCAATGTTTCAAGTCAGTCTGTTTTTACTAAAATATTTCTAGTACTTAAAAATTCCTAAAGATATTGAGAACAAAAGGACACAGCATCAAAGTAGCTTTTGATAGTTTTCTTTTTAGAAAACAAAACATTATTTGTGGGTAACATATTCAATTTTCCTTTTAATATCTATAATCAAATTCTGAGACTAAAATATCCTGGGCTTAACACAGACTTTAAAAAAAAAATGTTATCAGAGGGGCTGGCCTGTTAGCTCAGTTGGTTAGAGCACAGTGTTGATAACACCAAGGTCAAGGTTTCAGATTCCTGTACCAGCCAGCTGCCCCTAAAAATAATTAAAATCAAAAATCAAAAATGGTATCAGAGCAGTCTGTTGATGGACACTATTTTGGTTACCAACTATAATGATAAATATTGCTTACATTTTTCCCTTAGGCAATACAGTGTGGTGATTAAGTTTACAGACTCCATTCAGACATGGGTTTGAATCTTGGCTTTAAATACTAATGAAATTTCTCAGTCTTTTTCCTTATTTGTAAGATATAGAAAATAATAGCACCTATACCTTTTGGAGCCACAGGAAAGCTAAAACGAGATGACACACACCGAGTATCAATGCCTGGCAGATGTACTCAATAGACATTACTGTTAAATTATTAAGAAACTGTTCATGCTTAATATCAATTCTTGGTTAAGGGTAAAGTTGAGTAAAGTTCTAACATAAAAATTTCAGAAATATAACTGAAAGCAGTGTGTATTTTTTTTTTTATTTAATTTTATTTTTATTATTTTGTTGTTGTTGTTATTCTCGGTCTTTTTAATAATGGCCAGTCTAACTAGTGTGAGATGATATTGCAATGTGGTTTTGATTTGCATTTCTGATGATTAGAGATGCTGAGCATTTTTTCATGTACCTGTTGGCCGTTTGTATGTCTTCCTTTGAAAAATGTCCAGTCATCTCCTTTGCCCATTTTTTAATTGCATCATTATTTTTTTTTTTTTTACAGTATAATTGTTTGAGTTCTTTATATGTTCTGGGTATTAATCCCTTGTCAGATGTATAGTTTGCATCAGACAAGGGATTAATATTTAATTAAATATTTTCTCCTATTCTATAGGTTGTCTTTCCACTCTGTTGTTTCCTTTGTTGTGCCTTTTTTGTTTGATATAATCCCATTTGTTTATTCTTTTTGTTGTTGCTTGTGCTTTTGGGGTCTTATTCATAAAGTCTTTGCCAGTCCTACTTCCTGGAGTGTTTCCCCTATGTTTTCCTTTAGTAACTTTATGGTTTCGGGTCTTATACTTAAGTCTTTAATCCACTTTGAGTTGATTTTGGTATACGGTGAGAGGTACAGGTTCAGTTTCATTCTTCTGCACGTGGATGTTCAATATTCCCAGCACCATTTATTGAAGAGGCAGTCTTTTCTCCATTGTACGCTCTTATTGCCTTCATCAAAGATCAGTTAGCTGTAAGTATGTGGATTGATTCATGGGTTTTCTAGATCAATGGAGTTAACTTGTTTTAATGCATGATTTTGCTTTTAAGTCACAAGTCTTTCAGTTGATGTCTTGCTAGTTATTTTGGTCATTATAAAAAATTCTCTACTAGATTCCTCACAAAGGACTCATGGGAACAGTATTCCATGAATTCTTACACATGCTAACAGATCGTGCCATGATTAAAGGTCAGTTTTGCATGATATAAAATCCTTATCTCACACTTTTTTTCCTTGAGTTTGCTACAGTTTGAATGTATTCCCTCAAAATACATGTGTTGTAAACTTAATCACCATTTTAACAGTACTAAGAGTGGACGTTTAAAAGATGATTTTAATGCCTTTATCCTGGGAGGAGATTGGTTTACCTCAGGAGCGGGTTCCTGACAAAAGGATAAGTTCGACCCCTTTTCTCTCCATTTTTCATGCTTGTTTCTGCCTTCTGCTACTGGATGACCCTTGCAAGATGCCAGTGCCATGCTCTTGGACTTCCCAGCCTCCAGAATTGTGAAGCAAATAAAGTTCTATTCTTTATAAGTTACCCAGACTATGGTATTCTATTATAGCAGCAAAAAATGGACTGAGAAAAGTATATTTACTGTCAAAGTTTGATAACCTAATTACAAGTCATGCCCTCTTTCCCACCCTAGATTTCCAAAGGAATTTTTTTTAAGTCCAATAATTTTACCAGAACATGTCTTTGTATTCATTGTTCTGGGCTGATATTTGCAGGTACTTGCTATATTTTTTCAATATATATTTTTCAAATCTTTTAAAAAGATATTTCCTTTCCATTACAATTTTAAAGATGTTTTGGTTTTCTTCTTCAGGGACTCCTGTTGTTGACGTTCACTCTCTGTTCAGACTCAGTATCTGTCACTTTCTCTTGAATCTTAAAAAAGGTTAAAAAAAAAAACCAACCTTTTCTTTTTGACTTAAAATTTTTTTTGTCCCCATTTTTAAGGTATTATCTATTACTTGCTCTTATGATGTTTCTAGTTTAGTCTATTTCTGAAATAATTTTTCCTTTATCTGCAATTTTTTTTTAGGCCACCAGTACTGAGGCTGATATCTATTCTTTTCTCAAGCTCTGTCATTTAATTTCTTAGTATCACTAATGCTGATTTAGGTTGTTCTTTTCACTTCTTGTATCATTTTTCTTAACATCTATTAGCTCATTTTGAAATACAAAGTTACAATATTTGACCTGTTTTATAGATACAACTGTTTGACATGATTTGTCTTTAGGAATTCTATTGCTTTTTTCTCTTGAAACACTGTATGGGATTTGACCTTGATACTTCCTGTTGCTTGTTTTTATGTGAATTAGTTTTTCTCAACTTAGAATGAGGTGAATCAAGGTAGTTTTTCAAACTTCAAAAAGCTCCTTTTTCTATTGTTTCTAAGCAACTGGGTTCTGTTCTTCACTTTTTAAAAAAATTTAATTTTATGTATTTTTTAAAAAGAAAATGTAATTTTATTAACTTTTTTTTTTTTACATTCTAGGATGATATTGCAGAGCAGTTAAGAGGGAGGGGGAGGGGGAAAGGAGGGAACGAAATGTGATGGAAGGAGTGGGACTGAGGCCTCTGGCACCCCCCTCATTCCTACAGGGGAGACTGGGGGGCTTCCAGTGGTGGCTTGGTCATTGCTGGGTGGGGTGCAGATTCAGAGGGGTGTGGCAAAAGACCTCGCCCCCCACCACCCCAGCTCAGGAACCTGGGGCTCTTCTTGCTGTGCTTGGTGGTAGTTGCTGGGCTGGTTGTATGTGTTAGGGGGCCATGACTGAGGCCCCAGGACCTCCACCACCCCGGCTCAGGAGAGCCCAAGGCGCTTCCTGCCGTGGCTTGGTGGCACTGCTGGGGTGGTTGTGCGTGTCAGGTGGTGTGGCCGAGGCCCTCATCCCCCACACTCTGGAATGGTTGTGGGTGTCCAGTCCTTCTAGGTGTTATTGGTGTTCTTTGGTGAAATGAGACCTTTACTAGTTAATATCAAACTTTGTCTCTGGTTGTGGGTACTGTTTTTTCTTTCAGTTCTGTTTAGATTATTTGCTGTTCCCACCACTTAAACTCTGTGCTGGAACTAATTTGATGTCCTTTGCTTACTTCTAAAATGGGGGAACTTCCTACGGAGACCAGTACTTGAGCTGCATGGTGTAGCTAAATTGCTGCTTTGCTACTGATTCCCTAGGGAAGGCTTTTTGTGCAGCTCAGGTTTTAATGCTTGACTTTATAGGTACTTCTGGGTGTAGTGCAATCCGGTGTACCTGGGTTGTACAGAAACTCTGGTCTGGGCCTAAGTTTTTTTGTTTTTTTTTAAAAAAAGATGACCGGTAAGGGGATCTTAACCCTTGACTTGGTGTTGTCAGCACCATGTTCAGCCAGTGAGCGAACCGGCCATCCCTATATGGGATCCAAACCCGGGGCCTTGGTGTTATCAGCACCACACTCTCCCGAGTGAGCCACGGGCCGGCCCAGGGCCTAAGTTTTTTCATCAAACTGCACCCCATGCAGTTCTATATTCCTGATCAGTCTCCTCTGAGTGGTCCTATGCTGATTGGGGTGCAGATCAGCTGTCCTTGCTGTGCCTCAGTGTTCCCCTGGTGGGCCTGTCTCCCCCACGGCCCATGCTGCAAACACTTCCCATGGCACGGGCCGTGAGCAGGTCCCTTGCGATGACTCATCGGCCTCTGAGTGGCTCCTTGTTTTCAGTTGTTGTGGCTTCTCATTCCTATGTGAGTCCACAGGAACCCTTGCGGGCCTGGGGGCCACCAAGGCCCTCTACTCCCGTTGCCTCCAAGCAACTTCATCCAAAGGGCACAGCTGCAGCTTTTGCCAGTTCCTGCTTTGTGCACTCAGCAGCTCCAGCCTGGAAGCTGCTAGGGCTCGAAATGGTCAGAGCAGTTTTTTCTTTCTCTCATTGTGGCTTCTCCCACCTTCATGCACTCTGTAGGTCTCTCCTCCTCTTATCCTGAGCTCTAGCAGCCCCAGTTTGGCTGTTGTTGCTTTTTTATAATTGTAAATTGTTTGATTTGTGGAAGAGAGTGACACTAGGGACCATCTATCTTGACTAGAATCCAGAAGACCAAATTTTCTGTTCTCCTCCACTTTGATCAGTTCTTTGTCTTTCCTTCCCTTCTCACATCCCCACCCTGCTCAATTTTCACTTCATTTTCCAAAGTTTCTGCTCAGCATGGGGTCCCATCCTGGGAAAGAGCCCTACTGGATCTATTTTGAGAGTCCCCAGGGGACAGACTGCTCAAGCCCCTTCAGTTCTCCTTAGTGCAGATATATTGTGATTACGTGCTATGAGAAAGGGCAAAGCCCCTCTCAGTTTCAGCTACTGTTCTTACATTGGCCCACTATGCTTTCCAGTGAGGACCTGTTAATTATTTTGAGGTTCTCCTTTTCTCAGTGCTATTGCTTACTGCTTCTTTCAACACAGACATTGATACCATGCAGGTCCTGCAGTTGGTGATATGCTCCCATCAACTTGTATTTTGTGGTTCATGAGGATACCTTGTCACCTACTTTTGTTATAAATACTAATTTTGAGTTTTTGGTTTTGCTATCTAGTTGACTAGATTTTTATGGAAATTCAGATTCAACTACGTCTTGATACCACTACTATCTTCCCAGAATTCTTAGCATTACTCTTTTTCTTCAACACTCATTTTACTAAAATGATGTGGGGTATAGCTAGATAAAAGCCATAAGATGTGACTTCTAACTTAATCTAGGAAAGTGAAAAAATAATTTTTCTTTTATGTTTCCTACTGCTTAAATGGGAAAGGATAATAAGATTCACTACAAAGGCTATAATTTGAACCATATAAAATTGTTTTCATAGGTTGATTTATGGCAATTTTACATGGATCAATCTAACATACATTGATATCAACCAATTTCTTTCAGATTACTAGACATAGGCAATACAAAATTTCAAGACTAACATTAACACAGAACAGTATCATCTCATTTTTTCTCTCTCTATATATTTTTAAAACTAATGCCTTAAATTAGTTGGTACTACTCTGCTTTCTCACCTTACCAACTCATGTTACATCTTTAGCAGAGGTACAGCCTCTGTTCATTTCTCTAGTGTATGTCCTCATTCTCCTTGTGCAACTGTGACATCCCCCCTTTAATTAAATCCTAATTGGTACTCATAAAACAGATGCTTTCCTCACACTGATCACAAAGGAAGATCTTTGCCTGTAAAACTCAATTATTACCACTACTTTTCCCCAACAGCTAACTTTGGAGGGATCCCTGGATCTATGCTATTCTTATCTCAAATAACTTGTAGTGATTAACCTATCATGCATTTACTTTAACACTGAAGTCCCTTTTCTGAGAAACATTTACAGCCAAACACTCAGATCAGGGTCAGTTTCTCGCTCCTCTTTGACAAAAAGAAATTCCAACACATGCCACTTCAATATCAGTTCACTCATTTTATCTGTTTTCACTTCTGTATTCATAAGCAAATACACCCCACCCCAATGCTACCAAAAAAACAAAACAAAACAACCAGTGGCATTTACAATATTAACCCTTACTACAACCACCACTATAAAATGCTTCATGTATCCTATAAAAAAAAATAAGCATGTTTCTCAGTTCTTTCACAATACATGGCAAAGATACATTGCTTACCTCAAGAAGAATGAGGAAAAAAGCAAGAATGAAAACACCTGTATTAATGTGCAAAAAATGCAATGCTCTATGATAGATTTTTCTGCCTGGGTATTCACTGACTTCCTGAAGAAAAACAACCAATACAGCAGGTTAAAAAAAAAAATTAGGTCATACTGTAAAGCAAATCTAAAATTCATTTTATTTCAGGGCTCCCTAGAGGATTCTTTGATAAAGTTCATAAATTCGACAAACAAGAGATTAAAGGGCATAACAAAAGTAACATATGTAGCTCCATATATATTCTTACATCAAATAGTTATTCATTGTTACCTAGGAACTATTACAAATTTTTATAGGAAAATGATCACCACTAGTTTCATACCAACTGTTCTGAAGCCACAAGTTTAAGGAACTTTTTGATGAAGTCTATGAGTCCTTGGATGGTTCGGGTTCGCTCTACAGCCCACTTCTTTGTTTTCATAATAGGGGTGTCTCCCACAGCCTTTAGCAGGATGTCAACTGTAAATGAAAAACAAACGTACTGACAGTTACATTGAAACATCTAAAAAACTAGAAAACTTAAGTCTTTAACCTACATACAATTTGCATATTTATGATACTGAAGATACATCAGTGATGTAAAAATGTTACGATTCCTTTCTATTGTTTTTTTTCTTGATCCCACAATTTCTGCCCATGGGAGTAATCTTTAAAATGCATTTTGACATAGTTAGCAGTTCCAAAGAGAAGAAATATAAATCATCAATACAGACATAAAACAATATTTAAACTCACAAAAATAACAAAGTAAAATAACGTCATGGCTCTTTTCACCTACCAAACTAGTACAGATTAGAGTAATAATGGTGTAAATAATACTACTGTTGATAATATAAAGTGGTATACCCTTTCTGGAAAGCAATATGGTAATACATATCCCAATACTTGAAGACATACTTTGACTCAATACTACTGTTAGGAATCTAGTCTAAGAAATCATGAGATGTGTAGATTCACTTAGAATTTTACCTTCATTGAAGCATTTATTTTTATAGAAAAAAACTGGGAAACCCAAATATCCAACAAGGATACTTAGAAGGGATTGATCAAATAAAGGATATTATACAAGTACTCTATGATAGAATTTATATAATGTTGTAAAGAGTACACACTCTAAGCCGTCTGGGTTCAAATCCTAACTCAGCCATTTGCTAGGTGTGTGTGTATATATGTATGGATAAGCTTTTTAATCTCTCCATGGTATATATGTGGATAAGCTTTTTAATCTCTCCATGCCAGTGTCTTCATTTGTAAAATAGGGATAACAGCATATACCTCATAGGGTTGTTGTGAGGATTAAATAAGTTAATATATTCTTAGAAAAGTATCTAGTATATAACTCATACTTACTGAACCTTAAGATTATTAAGCAGTCATTAAAGAATCACATTGTAAAAGTGTATTTACCAACATAGGGAAGTTAGCAAATGTACCAAATACAAAACAGCATGTATAACATCTCAATGTCTTTAAAACCATCACAAGCAAATATTAACATAAATATGAAAGAAAATGCACAAAAATGTGATTTCTCAGTAGTGACATTATAGGCATTTATTACTTGGTTTTACTTACGCTTTTCGTAACTACCAAATTTTCTATAATAAACTTTTTAATAGAGGAAAATGATAAGTTACTAAAAATGAAATACAACTACTAGGGGCCAAAAAGAAGTTTCAGAGAGAGAAATTATAAGGTTGCAATATTCCAAAATACAAATATGTAAACCCAAAGACTATGAATCTATCTCTTGAAGAAAGTTAGTTTGCTTAAAAAAAGCAAGCAATACTGAAAAGCAAAATAGTGTACTGTTGCCCCCTAAAGCTAACTATTCTATTACATCCTTCTTACCCCATCCTTTGGTATTAAAAGTTGGGACCAATGAGGTCAGAGATCAATTTATTGAAGGTTATCCCCGTAATGAAGATACCTAGAACATATGATGCAGTTTACCTTCCTGCTAAAAAAGTACCTGACTATCCTAGCTAGCTCCAATTACTTTGGGAATAGGGATGAATTTGGAGATAAAGAGGATTCTGTTTAGCTCACCTTTCATACCTCCCTTCCCTGCTCCTCAATCCCCTGGGGCTATCAGTTGCATTTGGTTATTTCAAGAAAGTGAATCAGAAAATATCATGTAGTACAACATACTACTGAAGGAAGAAGAGCGGGAGTGCAAGAAACTAAAGAAAGAAAAGTAATTATTGTAATTATGGCTATACTCCTTTTTAAAAGTATAATTGTGGGGCCGGCCCGGTGGCGCACTGCTACAGTGCGCCACTTGGGAGTGTGGCGGTGCTCCCGCTGAGGGTTCGGATCCCACATACAGACCGGTTCCCGCTCACTGGCTGAGCGAGGTGCGGGTGCAGCACCGAGGGTTGCGATCCCGTTGCCGGTCCCGGTCCGGTACGGGCGCGACACTGAGGGTTGCGCTCCGTTGCCGGACACGAAAAAAAAAAAAGACAAAAAAAAAAAAAAAGACAAAAAAAAAAAAAAAGACAAAAAAAAAAAAAAAGACAAAAAAAAAAAAAAAGACAAAAAAAAAAAAAAAGACAAAAAAAAAAAAAAAGACAAAAAAAAAAAAAAAAAAAAAAAAAAAAAAAAAAAAAAAGGATAATTGTGACTGCTTGTAGTTCTGAATCCTGGTTACACATTAGAATCAACAGGGGGAGCATTTAAAAGAATACAGGTGTCCACATCAATTAAATCAAAATATTCTGGAAGCAGAGTGTATTAGTCTGTTTTTGTGTTGCTATAACAGAATACCCAAAACTGGGTAATTTATAAAGAAAAGAGGTTTATTTGGCTCACAATTCTGGGACAGATATATCTAGCACAAGCCTCAGACTGCTTCTACTCATAGAGGAAATTGGCAGGCAGGCAGCCAGCAGGTGCAAGGAGAGGAAGCAAGAGAGGGAAATGAGGTGCCAGGCTCCTTTAAACAAACAGCTCTCATGGGAACTAACAGAACAAGAACTCCCTCACTAGGACCCAAGCACCTCCCAACACTGCCACATTGGGGATCAGATTTCAACAGGAACTTCTGGGAGACAAACATATCCAAACTATAGCATGGGCCTTGGTACTGGTATGTTCAAAAGCTCCCCCAGTTGATCCTAATTTCTAGTCAGGGCCAACAACCTTGGTCTGTTTCAATAACGTCTCTTCTTCTGTAGGTTAAACCAAAAGTGGAACATAGTAAATACGTTTCTTCCAGCAGATTGTCCTCAAAAAAGGATGACAATCCCAGGGTAGAAATTCAATAGCTAGAAACTAAGTTTTATATCAGAGAGGCAAACTCAAATGGCAACAGGAGCCAGAAAATGAAAATCCAATTTTCAAGTGATAGCTCAAATTGTGTCTTAAAAAATTGTGAAGACCAAAGAAAACATTCCCCTCAGGCAATATCTGGGCAGAAAGCCATTGTTTTTTAGCCTCTGTTTTACACAGCTATCACGAGGGTCAAGTAGTAAGCTTTAGACCAAGGCTGTTAGACCTTAAACCCTTTGAAAGTTAGCTCCTGCTTATGGTAAATTGGAAGGGAAAAAAAATGCAACAAAAATCTGTAAAACCCATGGGATTCTTTTGAAGAAAGATTCCAGTGGCTATCTACACAATTAATCATAGTGCATACTGTGGAAATGACAGAACAGATTTCCCTCAAACGTAAAGGCAGTCTGATTTAAGCGGGGGAAGGGGCGTCAGTGCTGGGAGATACAATTATTCTCTACGGCAGGAGGAATTGAAATCAGATGAAAAAGGCCATGAGATCACAGAGCAGAAAACATGCCTACCTCCATTTTAAGATCTGGACTGACAAAATTTGTGTAGGTACAAGGTCAACCTCTTCGAACTGAAGATGTTCATTTGCCGTTTCTTCATATGCAAATTTAACTCTACCTAGAGTGCTTCAGGACAAGAAAACTTAGGAATTTCTGTGTTTTACAAAGGCGAACTACTTCTTATCGGGTAAAATTCCAGTTTTTTGGTTCAAGAAGTGAATTCACATTCAACTGGGGGCGGGGGGGAAACTCAGCAAACTAGTTAGAAGGCGTGAATTGTAACCCCGGCTTTGCCAGTGACCACCCCATCACCTTAAATCATTATTCAAATAGCTCCTGTGTTGATTACTCGAAGCTATGAGATACCACTCAGCTCCCACCTTTAAAATGCTCGCAGTGTGGCCGACGCAAAGGAAAATCAGAAAATAGTGTACACAGTACTGTGGCTGTCAAGTATCAGGCTCTACACCGATAAGGCACCTAACCAAGGATATTTGGATACGAAGGTGCGTCCAGAGATGGCTTTCTTGAGAGGCATTCATTCAAAGGTGCTGAAAATCGAAAAGAAAACTTCCTCTCTCCTGATTGCACAAAATGCATATCTGGGACTGCCCTTCCTCTAAATTTTTCTTCTTTACTGGCCGCCACCCCTAGTCGGACGCAAGCTAAACCTCCCGCCTCTCTGCCCAGAAACGACTTGTCAAAATTACTTTTTTTCTTGGTGTCGCCGGCAGGTTCCTCCGTCCCAGGGGATACTGCAGCGGAAGAAGGAGGCTCCGGAGTGACTGTTCCTGGGGAGACGTCTGTCAGTCCTTCACCGCCAGCAGCGGTTGAGGGAGGAAAGGGAAGAACAGACTCCGGTTCCTCCGCCATCTTTCTCGGTGGAGGCGAGGGCGGAAGTGGCGGGTGAATGCGTGCAGTGGGCGGGCTTCACGCCAGGGAGCGTCGCAAAGGAGGTGTCTGAAAATGGGGACCCAACCCAGCACTGAAACTTGCCGGCTAGTCCTCCACTTTGTACCTGTCACGGGCCCTTGGCCTTTAATATTGCACCGAGTGTTAGTTACCCTACAGCATGACTCTTCGGCCACGGGCACGTCCCCGTGCGCAGCCGAGGGCGCAGGCGCCATTCAGACAAGTAGGCCTGGGCGTGGAAATGTTTCCGCTTCCCTGAACGCCAGCCCCACCCAAGCTCCGCCCCTCTCAGGCCCCGCCCAGCGACCCGGGAACGCGCGAGCGTGTGAGCGTGCGAGCGCGCGAGGGAGGGGGCGGGTGGGGAAGGCTTGCAGACAAGATCCCAAGGCGAGGCTCACGCGCCCGCCCCCGCCCTGGCCCCCGTCACCCACCGGGTCGGCTCGGCTCAGCCATGATCAAGGCGATTCTCATCTTCAACAACCACGGGAAGCCGCGGCTCTCCAAGTTCTACCAGCCCTACGTAAGTATCCAGATTCCGACGATCCGGGAGAGGGGGAGTCATTGGCTACCGGCAGCGCCCAGCACGGCTTCCTCAGAACGACCCCCTCCGGCGCTCCGCGGCCCGTCTCGCGCCCGGTCCGCCTGCCTAGCGTTCCTGGGCTGTCAGCCTCCCGGTGGGTGGGAGCAAGGTGCCCACCTTCCCGCCGCGCTCCCAACCTCCGACGTGGCGCTGCCCAGGCGGCTCCTCCGCCCGTCTGTGGGCTGGGTGATTTCCCGGCTTCGCGGGCGAGGCCCTCGCCGGTCGGGCAGCTGCAGCTCACCTGCCCCCAGGAGCCCTGCGCTTCTGCCGGGCGAGCCCACCCCGCGCTTTTGCTTTCCTGCCGCCCACCCGCGGCATCCGTTGGCCCCGGAGGAGGAAGACCGCACAGAGCTGGTCCTCGCAGCCCCACCTCCCTGACGCCCAGCCTTTCCAGGTGGACCTCTCTCTGTTCTACCGACAGATGGGCTCCTGTTTTTCACTGTAATCCTCTCATAGCGGAGGAACTGCTCGCTCTGTACAGTCTCTCCTATGCATTTCCATACGTGGTCGACTGCCCAGCGTGACTTTCAGGTGTCTCATTATTAAAGAGAAAGATAAGCGAGGACCTGACGTTTTTATCAGGCTTTTCCCCCAGTGGCTGTAAATTATTTACTCTTGAAATAATTGGCGACGATTGTAGTTGACCGATAACTGTGATTCTATACCTGAAAGTTAGGATTTCAACTTCTCGTTTGGCATTTTCCTATGTAAGGGAAATTGCCCTAACTTATAGTTTTTCTTTTACTTATGAAGAATAGTAATATTTGTAAAACTTCTATTTTAGAAGTAATTATTGTTGATAAATGCGGGAGGCTTTAAGGTAGTAGAAATAATTTATTAGTGATCGAGAAAGGATTACAGACTTCTTTGTCTGTATGAAAACAAAATTTACCACTAGGTAAAACACTTAAAATTGGGTTCTCAGTGGTAGGATTAATGTGAGATATAACTATTGTGTTGCATTGGGGCATTTTGCTTACAGCCAGAAATGAATTTTCAATTCAGTATTGAAATTGTACCAATGCTAACACTTATATGCAGATAAGTCCCAGATGGAAATCATTCCTTCCATTAGAAGTTAAATGTGAAAATGTCAGTTTGCCTAAAATTATAACACAGTCTGTGGAGGTGTTAGTTGAAATGAGAAATCTTGAGCTTATTCTTCATTTCCTTTAAGTTGTTTTGCTTTTGCTAACGTTAAAGAATATTTTCTAATATTCCTGAGTGGTTTTAGTTTAGTTTAACTTAAATATTCATGCTCCATTTAAGAATTCTACATCATTCTTTAATCCGGGATAAAATTCTAGTTGATCCTTCTGAGTGAAGAAGATCCATTAACTTCACATTGTTACCCATTTTCTTTTTTTTTTTTTTTTGTCTTTTGTCTTTTTTCCGTGTCCGGCAACGGATCGCAACCCTCAGTGTTGCCCCCGTACGGGACCGGGGACCGGCAACGGGATCG